ACAGTGCAGTAATTTTACCAGGAACAAAGCAGTGTTAGAAGCCAGTTAGAACAGAACCCAGGAATTACAATATTCACAAAACCAGAATACAACAGAAATTTGGCTGCAGATGCTCTACATTGTCATAATAAACAAGCTAGTTGGCTACTATACCAGCGTCTGCCCTACTTTTCCTTTTTTTATATATGTTTCCTGCCTGAGGACCTTATGAGGTAGAGAAGCATCAGAAGATTAAAATTCACTTTTGAAGACTGTAGATTAAACATTCCTAAAACACATAAAGGCCACGTTTAAAGAAAACATTGCCCAGAAGCTGACTTTACCTTTTCAACAGTCAACAAATTGCTTCTTCCAAGAGTACACGAAGGTTTTGCCATTGGCAGTTTGCCAGTTGCCTTTATATTTGTTTCCTCAGATTTCTGTTCTTGTGTCAGAGGCAAATTGGCGATTTTCGTAGGAGACACACAAATTTTAGCAGGGCTTCTGTTTGGAGGAATGGGAAGAGCATGTATTTTGCCATCTGACAAAAGCTTATTTGATGCCTTCTGAAAACAAGGTGGCAGCAGACATGCTGGGCTATCCTGCACATTGTATGTCTCCCGTTTAACAGATCTGGGACTTTTTTCTATCATTTTGTTTCTCAGTATTTTCAGCTTTGACTCTGAGTCCTCCACAAATGTTTCTGTAATCTTATTTTTCTGTTCTTCTGATTGGCTTGTGTTAGTCTCTTCATTCTTGCTTCCAGTCTTTATTTGCTGTGCCAACAAATGAGCTTCTTTGAAAATTTCCACAAATTTCTCTTCTTGAAGTGGGCTCCACATGAGTTTATCATCAAAAGCAGGCATGCTCTTGTTTGCTTCCATACAAGCAGCAATACATCGTTCTTTGTGTCCCACAGCTCCAACAAAAACCTCATCTTCATTTCCACTACAAAGAAAAATAATTTAGCCTGGCATCTTTCATGTGTCCATTTTGAAGGTTTTATAGGTAAATATACCTTTACTTACCTTGTTGAAGAGAGTGAAAGGTCAAAATCAAATTTTTCATCACTCAGAAGAGGAAAGTCTGAAACTATAACAAGGATTTTGTCACATTTTTTGCAATAAAAATAGTTGCATTATGCTTTGACAATTTGGTGAAGTTGATGTTTGATGGCAAAAAAAAAAAAATTTAGCTACCAAGTTTAAAAAATTAAAACATGTTTTAGGTCCAGGAAATTTAAGGTACTGTTGTGCATATCGCAGAATCCATTAGGTTGGCAAAGATCTCTGAGATCATCAAGTCCAACCTATGACCAATCACCACCACATCAACTAGACCATGGCACTGAGCGCCACATCCAGTCTTTCCTTAAACACCTCCAGGGACAGTGACGCCACCACCTCCTTGGACATCCCATTCCAATGTCTAATCAGCCTTTCTGTGAAGAAATTCTTCCTAATATCGAACCTAAACATCTCCTGCCACAGCTGGAGACTGTGTCCTCTGGTCCCATCACTGTTTGCTTAGGGGAAGAGGCTGACCTCCACCTGGCTACACCCTCCTGTCAGGGAGTTGTAGAGAGCAATAAGTTCACCCCACTGCAGAATATGACAATTGTGAGATGCCCAATTACCATGAAATAGCTCAATGCTAATTTCTAAGCATCCATAATAGGAAGATGGAATGTATCTTATCAGCAGCCTCCAATCAAGATAAGTGAGAATATATAATCTACAGCTATGTGACAATGCAGTTGTCCCATCAGTCAGTTCTTTTCTGGTTCAGGCCATCACAGGACAGTAGCAGGAGCCAGTGAGAAAGATTAGTTTTCTTGTTAGTTATTATATACCCTACATATTAAATGAACCAGCAGCAGACAGATAAGGAAGAGGGAGGAGCTCAGATGAGATATACAGAAGAAAGGTTGATGACATCAGTCACTGATACACAAACTCCTCAGGAGGCTTCTACCTCTGAGACTGCCAACAGCTGCCCATCCAAGGAAACGAGTACACAGAACATGACACAAAGCAGATACAGGATGTCTACTGATATAATAAGGTATGAACCAGGTAGAGAATGTTCTCCACCTACCATTGCTCACGCAGTACAGTTTTTCTTCAGTCACATGACTCGCACACACTGACGTTTCTTTTCCTTCCTCCATTGTGTCTGGAAAATACAGAATTAGCCATGCAATATGTTAAATAAAAAACTCCAAACAAAACCAACAGGGTCATGGACTTTGACGATACTGCCAAATTAGCGAGGGGGTAAGCAATCCCTTTGAAAACTATCATATTTAGGGACTGCCACACAGAATAGTTAGGGTTGGAAGGGACCTCTGGAGATCACCCCGTCCAACCCCCCCTGCCAAGGTAGGGTCACGTGGAACGTATTACACAGGAACGCGTCCACGTAGGTTTGGAATGTCTCCGGAGAGATTCCACGACCTCCCCGGGCAGCATGTTCCGGTACTCTGCCACCCTCGACGTAAAGTTCTCCCTCGTGTTGAGGTGAAACTTCTTGTGTCTCAGTTTATGGCCATTGCTCCTCACCTTGTCGCTGAGGACCACCGAAAAGGTCGTTTATGGGATGTCACACACCTCACAGTCCCGCCAACCTCCCACCGCCCCACCTCAGGCGAGCTCGCACGGGTCGCCCCTTCCCCGACCGCAACGGCGCCTCGGCCGCCAAACGTCGGGGAAGAGCCTCTAGAATCTCCACCACCCCGCAGCGCTGAGGAAAGGGCGGGAGCCACCCCACACACACTTACCACTCACCGCTCCCGCCAGGGCCGCTGCGCACCCGCCCGGCCGTTTGAAATGGCGCCCCGCTCACGTGACGCGTCCCGCGCGCCCTCATTGGCAGGTTCGAAGGATACACGAGCTCTCCCGGTGCATTCTGGGGCCTGTAGTTGGCAGGATCTCCCCAAGGGCCGCCCGGCCCGCGCCCTCTCCGGTGCTCCGGCCGCGCCGTGTCACCCCCTGCCTGGCCGGCCTCGTCAGCCATGGGGGTGGCAGCAGCCTTAGGAGAGGTGTGGGTGTTGCTGAGAGTCTCGGCTTCAGTGCCATACCAGGGAGCGGGGTGACTCCAGGCGCAGCCGCCGTGCTGGCTGCGGGGGAGCCAATTCCTTTGGTTTCCTCCACGCCTTTGTGATTGTCCTAGTAACTTAACGTCGCCAAAAATGAAGTTAAGAGGAGGTTCAAGTTGGACATCAGGAGGAATTTCTTCACAGAAAGGGTAGTCAAACATTGGAATGGTCTGGCTGGTGGGGTGGTGGAGTCACCATCCCAGGAGGTGTTCAAGGGAAGGCTGGACACAGCACTTATTGCCATAGTCTAGTTGACAAGATGGTGATCAGTCAAAGCTTGAACCCTATCGTTTCAGAGGTCTTTTCCAAACCAATGGATCTTGTGATTCTGTAAAGGGGATATATACCTAATCCTAAAGTGGCATAAGGAACAGCAAGATCCCTGGATGTTGGTCCTGGCTACTGCCAGTTAATATGGGCTGACTGATAGAATAGTTTTAAAAGTAGACCTGTGTTAGTAGAAAACAGCACCGTTCACAGTTCTTCTCACATTTAGTGCTGCACAGTGCTTATGGTTTTCTCCTAATAACGCATGGCCTCAGAAATTGTGTTCCAGTGATGTATTCTGTTCTAAGTATTTTGGGATGACTAAATCACTGGGCTGGAATTTATCAGCTGAATAAGAATAGTTTATAATAACCTGCAGATTTTCATATGCATAAAATATTCCATAACCCTTTCTCCCCTTGGTCACTTGTATTTTTTTTATCTTTCATGGAGCCCTGCAGGATCCATTTGTAACCTGAGTATAAAGCGAGTATCTTATGTATTAGCTAATATGCATAGTAAATGGCATGGATAGATAGGCTGTTGGGCTGAATATTAACATGCTCACCTCCCACCTCTTCTCCCTCCACATCACCCCAGGGGATCCTCCTGGCTGGCAGTGGTCAGTTGCACAGGGAACTGTCAGGCTTAGCTGCTTGTAAAGAAAGGCCAAACCTCATGATTACAGAATTTCTGTCTTCCAGCTTTTTATTTCAGGATTTTCTACCTGTTCTCTTTGGTGTTTTCCTCATTAGTCCTTGAATTGCTATTATTGATGTAACAATTTCAATCCCACTTTTTTACTGTTCTTCTCTTGCATTGCTTTAGCCTATATAATGTCTCAGTAATAGCTCAACAGCAAGTTTTTTTCAGTAAGTTGAGCAAGGGTCTGTGGCTGTGTTAATAACACTGACCTGTGCACATTATAAAGGAAAATTTTCCACAAAGAAAATTATGATAGAAGAATAAAAGTTGGGAGATTTCAAGAGTGCATTATGTGATCAAAAATCAACACTCACACTTCTGAAATGAGGCTTGTCCGTACCTCCCTTTGCTTGCTTCAGTCGAAAAATGAAAGCCATCAGTAAGATCTAGAAAACCAAGATGAAACTGATGGGGAAAAGGGCAAATATGTTGTAAGTGCTACTTATCTTAAGACAGAGTAAAAGAAATGTATCAAGAAAACTAAATACATACAGGGAAAACTCAGTGCATCTACCACCCTGTATATGTTACTTAAGAAAACAGAATCCAAAAGTTGTAACTGCCTATATTCTCAGGATCAGGTCTGAAAAAGCTAGAACTGATTCAAGTCAGTAATTCTTTACTGATGTCCAAACTTCTTCCTCCAAGTCATTGTAATATTTATATTTTTCTATATTTATTATATAACTAATAATTTAGAACGATTCTATGTCCTCAGTAGCTCCACTGGTTCAAGTGACACAGTTTTGCTCACATGGGTGAACAAGCTCAGTCTTAATTTTCTGGAGTGTAAAGTGATTTCCCAAGACATGTTTGGAAATTGCTAATTGTTTTAATAAAACTAAAGGAACCAGTTTTATTCATATAGAAACATAAATGCTATGTGAAGGAAAGGCAAAAGCCTTTAGAAATGCACCAGAACTACATTTTCAGGTTTGTCTTAATAGCAATTCTATGTGACAATAAGCTGAAAGTAACATTTAAATGAGAAATGTGGTTATTTTAATTTTTTTTATAGTTTAAAGATGATGTAAAAAAGTGTTTTGGGAAAGAAGGGCTTTGGCCTGTCTTCCCAAAGTACAAATTGAAGTGTGTTTGTTCACAAGCCCTACAAATAATTACGGGACCACTGGATTTAAGACCACCATTAACCCATCTGATCATGCCACACCCAGCTATTGGGCACAGCCTCTCGTTAATTAATGGCTTTAGGTGGTCAGGGAATAATAGGATGTATATGACTGTTAATAACCCTAAATCTCAAAATGGTTTTTTTGTGCTAATATATTGCTTATTGACTGCTTATTGAATGTGATCGTGTTATAAGTCAACAGTTTATAAAGAAGGCACCTGCTTTTTCATAAAAGTGTTTGAATATTAGAGCATATGTAAGTGAGAGTGGCTTGAAATTTCACTCCAGCCAAATTAAACCAAATTGCAGTTGTAGAAAGGAACTAAGTTTTACCCCAAAACAGCCTGTGATCTAATAGAAAATAATTTCCAGCAGCAGCACCCTCCATCTGTGCCTTACTTGTGGTGTTATGAATTTGGCAACACCTCAGCAGTGAGCTACTGTTTATAAGAAGAGATCCCAGCAGCTAAAAGAAGCCAGTCATTGGGATGACTCACTACTTGCCTTGTGAACTGCTCAAGGGAATTTCTTGAAGAACTATGTCAAAATCAGCTCTAGAAACCATTAATTTGAGATCTTTCATTGACACATAACAAGTATTCCCAGATTATTGTTGGTTAAGTTCGTGGGCTTGGAAGGAAGATTCTTTTTGTCTGTACTGAGTGAAAATTTTCCCCTTTTGTGCAAGGCAACAAGAGGATAAAAAAGGCTTTTTTCCTCTCTGCAAGAAGAAATCTGACGCAGTGTGAACCCAATCATCAAGGCACCATGAACGCCTGCAGGAGGTAAGCTGCACATACTGCATTCCCCTCAGGTAGGAACAGAAAAGCAAACGACTGGCAAATTATTCCTCTCATGGTCTTCACATGATGCTCCAGATGATCGTGAGCTGTGTTATTTGATTTGCAGCTATACAAGCCAAATTGTTCTCATACAAGTGTTAAATGTCTGTTTCTAATTCTGCAATTACTTTATGTAAAATCTCAACTGCAGAACTTCTGTTTTATTGATGAATTCCCTTTTGCATTTCCTAGTCTTTTATTTTTAACAAATCAGCTTTGACAGCTCTCTTCCAAGCATGCATAAGTATGTAATTTCTGGTTTAAAGTTCTTTTTTATTCATAGAACGTATCTGCACTAACATTTGTGGTAACCCCTACTCTTCTGCAGTAATAACAGCAGGAACATGTATGAACCAGAGCTGTAATACATATAATACTTCTCAGACCCGTCCCTAAGCTATAGGATCACAAACTAATTCATCTCCTTTTAGCATTCCAGTTCAGATGGAATTGTGAATATTAAGCCTTTTTTTCTCTTAAAAAAAAAAAAAGAAAGAAAGGCAGCAGGAACAAGGACTTAGCACTGGGGCTTAACAGGCAATTTTCAGTGGAGATAACAATAACTGGAGGTCTGTTGCCACAGGCTAACACTTCTAGCTTCAAACCATTTGGGAAAGGTGGCAAAGCAATGTCAAATGTTACTCCAGAGAATCCTGCGGATATGCTTTGTGTAGTTACTCCTGATTGGTATCTTTGGCTAATGAATACCTTGACACAGACTGCAGAGAGAAGTCCCCTCTGAAAAGCAGAGATAGAAAAACACATCAGAGCAGGATGGGAAGCTCACATAGCACATGCTGTGCTTATTGCCATGGATGAAAGCTTTGGAAACTGGTAATTTTTTATTTGAATCCTGCCGCTTTCATAATATTGCAAAATGAAAGGGTATGTTTTTTCTCATACAATGATCTGCATCAACAGTGAAGAGTAAGAGCACTGTGTCCTCTAACAAGCCCCTACCCAGTCTCAGCCTGTCAGTGGGAGAGAAATACCAAATGGCTGGTAAATGTTTTGCATTTCCAATTATGGAAATTATTTTATTAGCCTCATACAATTTGAAGAGCTCTTTCCCAAATCTAGTCAACAATACAATGCACACTCTGGATTTCATTACAAACACTGTTGAACTGTTAATAAAAAAGAATAATTTTTAATCTCAATCTTGCTTTCTTTTATATCAGGATACATTCTCTTCGTGCTCACAGGCAGAAAACCAACGGGAACAGAAGTGAGAACTGGCACAGCACCTCTGGGTTCAAGCACCAGCAAGGAGATGATCTTGTTACAGTCCATACCCTTTACACAGTGATCATCGTGATCCTTCTAATGGCACTTTGGGGAGCCTGGTCAAGAAAGAATTCATCCTTATAGAAGCAATTTAGCAGCTTTCTTTGTCAAGTATTTAAATAAGTAATTGTGTTGATTACCCATACCCAAGAAGTACAAATAATGGTCTCTGCCTATTTCAATTTACTTGAAACTGCTTAAATGGTTGCTACTTGTGGAAGTGAATTTAACAGACCATGATTTGTGAATGACAGATACCTGTTTGGCCTCTACATGTGTATATTACCCTCAGCACGTATATGAAACTTTGAAGCACAATATTCTAGAAAGAAGAGTTCAACTTCTGTTTTATTGGTCAACATTTTGTATGTCCACCCCAGCTTTCCATTTTTGAGCTTAAACTGTGGAGTCTCTACCTCTGCTAAGATTGCCTGTCCCAATCCATGGTAAAATATACACCAAAAGCAGGAAAATAATCTGCCATGTCATGACAACATAAGAAAAAAAATCAATAAAACCGGCTATCCTGCAGGCAAAGAAGGGTCTCTGAACATGTGAAATTCATCTACGTCGCTGAAGAGACTTTATACAGGACTTGCATCCACATATTTTTAATTTATGGTAATGATTTTGTAAACTCAGGAATAAAACCATGAAATAAGCTGTATTTGTAAGCATCCTTTGTCACAGAACCAGCTGGCTCAGTCTTCACTCTTGTATATATTTAATTTATCTTCAACCATTGCTTCCTTTTCCATAATTCATTAATGTCTCATGGCAGCACCAGCCTCTACATACACCAGCCTATTCTTGATGGGAGGTATTCCATATTCCCACTTTTTCAGGGAAAAGGAAGTAACCCCACTCAGACAACCTGCAAGCTTTCTGGAAGTACAGCCAGTTAGCAGCCTCTGTTAAACTCTTTGTTAGGTGTAAGGTTGTCTACACCAGATGAGCACAAGTTAATGGACATGCAGTTCTGAGGGGCAGTGAGTGCTGGGGACAATAGTTCAAGCCTTGGGAGTTAAACTCAGCTTAAACCCCAAATTTTAGCACTACCTAAACTAATAAATAAACAGTATGCCTCCCCAAAAAAATCCTGTGAGACATTTTGAATACTCACATAGATACACATCTGTAATTATGTAGTACCTGTAGAGAACACAAGTACCATGTACCCCATTTTGATATCCACCCATAGTCAGGAGGGGTACATAAACTGAAATGCCTCTGAGAAGAGCTCCACGGCATAGCTCCAGGAGTGTGTACAAAGCACAGTGTAGCACCAGAGACAGCCATGCCAGCTCTCAGCAGGTGGGTGTAGGCGCTGAAATTGGTGATCCTCCATTGATGCTGCACTCTGCCAATGCTACCAATGTTGCTCTACTTGGGTGTGCTACTGGATACCATCCTCGAAGGGAGGATAACCATCTCCATCATGACAGGTCTTCCTTGAGTATAGAACCACATTCCTGCCTTATGCCCAGGGGTATACCTGCTCTGTGATGGACAGGCCAGCAGTTGGACATCTGTCACATATACTTGGGCTGAAAGCTTTTAACTCAAACAGCAACAGTCTGCTGGCTTTACCACAAAAGTCATTGTTCCAAAGTCATTGTAAAGGATGGTGTTGTAACATCTGTTTCTTGTTTGCCTTGTCTCCTCTTCCCCTTCATCCTCTCTCCTACAAGAAACTCATGTATTGCAAAGCCTTCAAGCAGGAAAATGAATTTTGTGGTGGACAAGGTTTTAGGTATTGAATTTAGAAGTATAGACTGCTGGTTTTCCTCAGCTTTTGTCATATATGCAATACTGAAAAGGCAGCACAGGCAAAAAAACCCCCAAATTCCAAAAATCATCCCACCTAGGAAAAAAAAAAAGCTAGAACAACTGACCACACATCATAATTTTGGATTTGTTGTATTTATAAATCCTGCAGGTATAATTCTACCTTTGAAGCCCTGGAGATCTAGGTAAAGTATTGAAAATACTTCAGCTTCCTCTTTCACCTTGTGATAGTGGAGATCAGGTATGAAAGTTCAGAGGAGGCAGCAGCAGAACATTAAATGTTTTGAAAAACCTATCTTTTTTTCTTAAACTTTTGCTTTGCTGGAAAACTGCCTTGGCTGATTTAACAGTAACATTAGAGATTCAAATTTACTAATTTCTAGTGTGTTCAGAAATACAAAAGTAAGTTTGCAGGGTCAACAAAATCTATGTTTATTACCAGTTTTTGTAAATAACTGGTTAACCTGAATAATGCAACTAGGACTAGGGGTAACCTGTGGTCTTGCAGGGCATAGTCTTCATTGCTAACAGACCCAAATCATCTGCCTGAGTTCTACTTTGGAGACTTCAATTCCCAAAATAATTTCCTGTAAATCCACTCATGAAAATACCTCATTTGGGTCTCACAGTAAATCAAAATTTTCCAAATTACCTTATGTCAATAGTAACAAACTATTTAATGTTTCTGCACCAGTGAAACAGACTAATGAGAAGTAGAAACTGTAACCCCAACTTCACAACTTGTGTGTCAAAACTTTTATGCAGTCATCATTTTATTACTATTTCTCCTATATTAAAGACACTGGACAGATGTTTTACACATGTTCAAAAAAGGCTGTGGTTTAAGCAAAGCTGTCTGCTGTTATTTTAAGCTACCAAAAACATTGTAGTTCAGCCAGTAAATCTTATGATATGTTCCATGTACCAACTGGACTGTCAGAAAAGGAAAACAAGTCTTTTATTTTCCATGGTCATTCTCACATCCTGATGTTACACACATCTTTTTTTAAAAGACGCAAGCCCTTCCAAGCTCCATTTTTTACTACTGCCTCACATTTCCCTTTAGAGAGGATGATGCATTCTGTAAAACCATCTTTAAAGCAAGAAGTCAGCACAGCGATTTCTCCCAAATCCTTTCTTTTGATAAATCTTGGAATTCCTTTGGTACTTGGGAGCTAAATTTGCCATTGGTCTGGTTGGTAAGAAAAAGATGGTATTTGTACTCTTGGGTTTAAACTGAGGGAAGACTTAACCAAAATCAAAATGCAAAACACAAGCTAGGGATTTCCATAATTAATACAGAAACACAGACAAAAGTAGGTCTATATGTCAGTTCACTGGTCTGTTTACTGTATTGGACAACATTTCAACTCTAACTCAGACTTATCTGACAAAATATATTGTTTTTCCAAACACTACGTGTAAGAATGTGGGGCATAGTCTTCCAAGTATCTTGTAAGTACACAAATCATAATAACTCAGAGAACGTTAGGAAAAAAAAATGCAGACAACTACACAGTTTTAGCACATCCCAGAAAAACAATACAGTATAACAATAACAAACTATGCATTTCTACCTAACTAGGACAGTAGTTTTACTTAAACAGGATGCCTGTGTGTGATTAAATGATACTCATGCAGGGCTCTTGCACCTAGTGACTACTGGAAAATCAATGTCTTCCTACTTCCCTTTGATAGCCTTTCCTAACACCAGTTCAAAAAAAACCAAAACAAGTTCTATGATCTTTTCAAAATGCCGTGTAAGTTGTATTGACAATTTTAAGTGAATAAATGTATGGTGCAAATTTGTCTGTGAATTCTGCACCTGGAACTAGGCCCTAGGAAGTCAGCATCACCGTGCATAATCCAGTGCTATAATGTAAAAGCACCACTCATTATCCTTTAACACCAACACTGAAGTGCTCTATACCATTAGCACAAGGAGGGAGATGCTGCTGATAGTTTATGGAAACTTTCCTTTTTCTAGTCCATCAGCAACACTTGGGCCATAAAGACACCTTTTCTGGCAGTAGTATCCTTAAAAGAGTATCATCCATCAGGTGTACCAAAAAAACAAATCTGGGAGGGTTAATAAAAATTATTTAGAATGTTTGAATCCTGTCTGGGACTGACAAAACATTGTTGATAAAAGAGAAAAGTAAGTAGAGATTTCCAATCCTTCTGTTTATGTTCAGCTTAGAGCACTGGCAATTTTCCCTTGTCAAGAAAAAGGACAGAAATACCAACGGCAAATTCTGCTTTGCATGGCAGAATTGCTCTCTGTGCTTAGAACACAGATAAGATTACTAAGCTTGGTATCCAAGCTTGGTTAAAGATCAGATGTCATCAAACTATTCAGTACTATTCCACTTTCTCTGAAATGCAAGATGAACTGCAATGGAGTGTTTTTACACCTTAAAAAGTCCTTTTTCCTTTTAAAAAAATGTATTTCCACATTTTCATAAGACATCTTTCGTTGACATTCTGCAAACAACACTATCCAATAAGGTGCTGATTTTTTCTTCTTGCGGAGTAACTTTGTATATCTGCAGAAAAAAAAAGAACAAGAAAAACAGAAAAGCTGTATAAGGAAGGAAAAAATTATCACATAGCTTCTAAAATATATACATACATGAAAAAAATTTTCCCCTCTCCGCCATTCTAACATTGGAAATTCCTATCTTCTTGAGACTGCAAGACAAAATCGGGACTGAGGAACCAAGCAAATTCTGAAACTGCAAGATTAAGGAAATCAAGAAACTGAATGAGAGCAGCACCTGTGGTTCCACATGTTAAATGCTATGATTTGTCCAATTTTATTCATGTGTCTCCTATTATTACTTTGATGGACACGATCAAGATGATTTAAGTTACTTGAATTTTATCATGTAGAACACACATGCTCCAAGATACCTATCTAATCTGTTAAGAGCACATATGCCCTAAGACAGCTCCTAACGGCTAATCGGCACGTTTTTATTTTAGCCACCCATACTGGGGCTATTTATGTGCCTAAGATTATGAAACTGTTCAGGACTGAAATTTCTAATTAAACAGATATTTGACTGAGAAAACAGGAAGCAAAAGTGCCTGAATGGTAGGCAGCAATCTGGAATTGATTTTTATGACAATGATAATAATTTGAAGACTTAAACTTTGTGACGTTGAAGTGTGACAACTAGAACTTGTTTCAACTAAAAAAATTTAAGAAATAACTAATCAAGGTTCACTGGAAACTAAAGAAATACAGATCCTAAGTTAAAGAAATACAGATCCTAAGTTAATTATGTCCATTGATATTTAATCAGACAATTAAATAAACTATCCCTTTTCTCTTCTCTTTTGGCTACATACCTTTTTAACTCTGGCAGTGTCTGTTAGCTGGGGGAGTTCATCTAGAGAAACCTGTTGGCCTTCCACTTGTGATGCTATATCTTCCAGATTTACAGTTTTGTAGCTATCCAGCAGAACAATGAGTACGGCTGTGTCACTGTCTGAAATGCCAAACTTTTTAAATGCATCTGAAATCTGAGAAAAGATAAAAAACATAAAAATATTATGAGTCATTTTCTTGCTACATATAAGCAATCTTTTTAGTTACTGGGTCAAACACACCAAGAGTATAACTTGACAAATGTTTTACATTAATGCAATTCTGACAAGCTACAAACAATAACAGCGTATTAGTGTTATTAAAAATAACAGTAACTTCTATTACTAGGCAGGTAAACTCTGAATTTTAGTTTGGCTGTGTGGATCTTAGTAAGTTCTCGCAAAAAAAAGAAATGTATTCAGTAAATCTTACATTGTTGTTTGGTGAAAGGTTGAAAATAATTTCTGCATAGAGAGTTCTGGTCTTCATTTTATCTATCT